ATCGCAGGCGGTTTGCAGCTGTTCGAAGGGTTTCTTGAATAAAATACACACGTAGGTAAAATACACGTAAACTGCAATAGAAAAGCCGTTGGCTCTTGCTACGCAATCGTAAAGCGTAGCAAAACGTGCGTTCGTTCATATCACATATAGCATTACAGAACTACCGATTTTCTAACTTTAAAATAAATACATATATTAACTAATTTAACTAGGAATCATTTAGCTATATGTCTACATCAGATTTTTCTTCCGTAATATCGCAAAATCGAGATATCGCAACATTCTTGGAAATTGATTTTAATATGATTATAGTTCCTATGTATAATATCGTATAAACAATTTCAAAATAGTATGGCAGTTTTTTTAGATGCATTTTCGAAGATCTTTTACAGTGATTGTAGTATCGAACATTTTTATCTAATATCTGATATATTACTATTATTTATATAAGAGTGAATGTTAATTAGAATATTTAACTTAATTGAATCGTTGTTAATATCACGATCGAAGTATCATGATAAGACATGAAGAGAAGCTGTCGCGTTATTTAAGTGCATATTTTAACATTTAAATGATAGACACGAACAATGACGCTTATGAATTGCAATTAGCCCAAAAGATCAGTGTGTTTCATTAAAAAAACGATAAAATGTAAATTGACGTCTATTATCGCAATGATGACAAGTGTTTCCTTTTAACGATTACCGTTTTCAGCTACAATACTAAACTTTATATTTTTATTTGAAAGTATTTTATGTAATTCTATTCTACATTTTATAAATGATCAAAATTAGCGTATATTTATATGTTTAATTATATTCTAAAAATAAGTTCTTTAATTGTTTGATAATTTAAATTATCTTGAATCATATAATATAATATAATTATTTATTTAATTTATTTTTTAATTATGTTAACATAATTATACACTGAGAGAACACTGTTTTTTTAATATTTATTTTATTTATGAGAAACGACGGATAAAAGGCATTTTACTACTGTGAACAATTTAATTAATAAACTAGACTATAATGCCTTAACCAAGTGTGACAATCGTGGCAACTGGAAATGCAAGTATAATGAAACAGGAATGATGTAGGAATCGAGGCAGGAGAGCATCATGGTTCGATAGTCACGGCTCGAGGACAAACGGACCACTATACACCATTGCCATGCTCGTCGGTCGGTTCTCGAGTAAATCTCAGCAATTTCTCCATAATGGTTGCCAGACTGGACGTCATTATCATACGCCCTGATTTTTCTCGTCAGACCGACCGTGACGATGAACATTGCTTGCCTTCGTATGCGATCCTAAAAGTCGCTCGGTGTATTGAACCTGGCAAGCTTCCGCGAAAATTTAAACATTCAGCCGTTTAACATGTGAAAGTATTGAGACATTTCGATAAATGTTTCCCGCGAAAAGTAATTTTCGTAAATAACTCGTGGTTATATCTTCCGCGAACATTTTGCGGAAGAGAATACATGCAAATGTGGAGCAAAGAGTGATCGATTCTTGATAGTTTTCTTGAATATATCGTATAGTTTGCGTATTTTGTGAATTTCATATATATCTTTTACGTTATATAAAGTATTCCTTTAAAGTTATAATCAATTAATAATAAATTTAATATTTACACGCACACATATATATTGCACTTTTAAATTTTCAAGCACTGTAATTATTTTAAATTTAATTGAACATCTTATTTTGCAATAATTAATTGCATTTTAATTTAATTAACTGCTCCTTAAAATATTTAATAAAAGTAATTGACTTAATACTTTGTTGTTTTAATATACAGGGGGGGGGATGTTTCCCAAACCTGTTACCACAGTTTTTGAGATACTTCTGATCGACTGACAACAAAATGTTCTAATAACAATTTGTTGGTTTCTAATAATGATCTTACTGCTTTAGATTGATTCTCGACGACAGATTTGTAGATGTTATAAGTATTAATTGAATTATCTTGAAATCGAGTAATTAAAATGATACATAATGCTAGATCGAATTTGTCTTTTTATATACTACAACAATATGGAAAAAATATTGGTTTCATTTAAAAAAATATATAATTTGAATTTAATTTTTTGTTAAAAAAATAAACAAATTTTAATTTTTTTACATAATATTAATTGAATTAATTCCTTATCAGAATTCAATAAACTTTTGTTAAAAACATTTTATTACCAATTCATCGAATTGGAAATATCTTGAAAATTATAACAATCGATTTGAGGAACACTTTGTATATACGAAATGACTTTAAAAATTGCAAAGACAAATATTAACCGTGGATTTTTTAAAACACTGCTAATTATCCAAACAGTATTATCGAAAAGACTGTTACATATTTTCATCGTATATAGTATGTATTTCACCGCGATTTGTTATTATATTAAAAAATATAAAAATATATTTCCCGATCCACTTATGCAATGTTTACGTAATGTTATTACTCGCGCAGAACGATCGACCAACATACTTGATAATTTAGCAATACCACATAGAACATATGCAATTTGTAAGAAATGCTATCCAATTTTTCCTAGTTTTATTGCTTCTTCGTCCTTTTATTCCATATAAATTTCACACTTTCCATTCTTCTCTCGATATCGCTTCTGAAGATTCAGGTTCGTGATATCGTTCCCGATTACTTGGTCGACCGATCGAGCGGAAATAAAAACACGAAGAAGCTCTTCTCTTTTAGATCCAAATCGATTTATTCGTTTTATGAGATAAACTATTTAAAGTATTTCGATAATATCATGATCTTTGATAAACCTATACATTACTCTCAATGTTGAAAAATTCCAAGCATTCCTCATAATTTCATAAAAGGTTCAATACCTTATCACATCTGCCTATAAATTCCACTGTCGGCTTCTCGATTTGTCACAACATATCGTAATTTTAGTTAGTGATCTCAATGTTGAAAAATTATGATTGATAATTCATTGTTCGTCCATAATTTCGAGCTTGTTTTTGCAACGTCTTTAAGCGCTAAATATGTATAAATATTCAATCGAAAGATATACATATCCAAGAGAATTGATAAAAAGCTATCAAGTTAAGCAAGAAATTTGAATCAAATAAGAAATATCTTTGCCATTTTATTAATATTTTATATAAGGCATTGTATATACTACCTAATATTATTTCTTTATATAATTTTTATGTATGAGTAATTAGACAGTATAATTGATATAAAGTACATATTTTCCAATATATATACAGAGTGGTCCACTTATCTTGAAGACTTACCTTGAATATTTCACTTTTTATGATACGAAAAAATGTTTCATATAAAAGTGGAATGATTTCGAGATGTATTTTGGTCACGTTGTATTGTTTTAAGTGAAGGCGCCATATTAACTATGAAGGTCATCTCCAGTTTTCTAGATGCAATTATATGATTTTTTTACATGATATGATTCCTAATTATTCTACATGTAAAAGTATTAAAATATAGAAATATCATAAAAATCAATAGTTTTTGAATTATATTTTATACTTTATTGTAATATATATTAACACGAAATATTAAATATCTCGTATTTTTTCTTTATCATACTCCTTAATACTTTTATGCACAGAATAATGAGCTAAACCAATTGATGTAAAGAAAACGCATAGTTACTTATTAAAAAAATTATGTACCTAATTGCATTAATTCTAAAATATATAACTTTTAAATAAGCAACTATGAATTTTCTTTACACACTTTGATTCACCTCGCATTATTCTGTGCATGAAAGTATCAAGGAATGATTATCAAAAAATGAATAATTCACGAGATATTTAATATTTTATATGTTAATATATGCCAGAATAAAGTATAAAATAACTCGAAAACTATTGATTTTTCCATATCTCTATCTTAATATTTTTGTAGAATAATTAGAAGAATCATGTTATTTAAAAAATCATATTATGTAAAAGTAGAGGAATCACGTAATAAAATCATATAATTATAGCTAAAAAAATAGAATTGACTTTCGTATATATATAGTGCCTCTCTACCTACAAAAAAAACCTAACCAAAATAACTTCCTCTCGAAACCGTTCCTTTTATCTAAAACATTTTTTTAGTATCATCAAGAATAAATGAAATATTCAAGGTTTTCAAATCAAGTGGACTACCCTGTGTATGTACATATGTATATATGTGGATCATTTTTGTAAAAAAAAAAAACTTTTATATCTCTCCAATAATGCCATTTGAGTAAACGAATTTGTTCTTTAAAAATCTTCAATTTTGGGCCTTGTATAAAAAAAATTAAACGCAGGATGAGAACTTTTCGAGCAGAGCGCAAACACGCAAACTATTCGGTATCTTGTCTGGTTACTGATTTACGTCGTATATCTATAGTGCGGTTCAAGGTCGGACGGTGTACGTTGAAGACGATAGCTGTAAGATACGCACGTAGGTGCATTAACCCTTCGAAGAGTCCGCGACGCGATGCGCTGCTATAGTTTCGTGAAGAATAGTATAACGCTTATAAAAGAGCAAGCCGAACGTTTAATTCTTTAGCTAGGAACCAAAAGAAAATAAATCTAATATTCTAAGTTGTTGTATTAGAGACTTTTTAGGAAAGTATCTTTTTACAAATATAAAAAAAAACTGAAATTATGTCACAGTAATGTAAACATTTTAGCGTTTTTAATTTCATTAGTACTTTAGATATTATTTTTAGATCAGATCAACGTTGAACTGCACAGTGAGGAATTAAAATACACCGCTCATTTATATCGCGAATTTTCTAAGCTCATTATTAGTCACGTAACGGTATTATTAGTTCACGGTACCAGCAGAATTATTCCTCGACTATCTCGAGACCAAATAAACCTGTATCCGAGAAGCGAGACGATTAAGTCCGAAAACCAAATTTTTCATAGGAGACTTACAAAAATTCAGATAAGTACACTCGCGTCAAGCGCGGATACATTTAACATATTAAAACTTATGCGTCTATGTACTTAAAACGTTAATACTTACTTATATTCTTCTCTACGAACGAGCAATCTGGGCCATGATGCCGAGGAAGAAATTCGGCCGCACCTCACTGAGAATTCACCTGGCTACCGCACGTAAACGCAACACTCGTACGAGCAAGCGAACGTTCCTTTCGCGGATCGTAGGCGTAACCGGAATGCACAAAATGCGGTTGAAATCGCGTCTTACGAGTTGGTCATGTCCTGCAGAAAGGACGAGAAAAGCGGAAAGAAAGAAAACGGAAATCCGTTTCTACACTTCGAGTCGGTGGACCTTCGAATTGCACGGACGCGAACGTGGAAGGTTGCTCCGGCTTCTCTTGACCGTTAGCTTGATCGTCGCATCGCGGTCTTAAAGTCGACTGCAAGAATCAAGCGGCACGGCTATGTCCGTCCTCGGCCCCCGTAGAAATCCTGTCTCGTGCCAGCACCGTGACAGCCGGTGGTAGGGCGGCCGAGTCTTCGGCGGTAGGCCTTCCCTGCAGGCCGGATAAGATGTAAGCGTCTTGACGAGGTTTGCCGCTGGCGGAAAAACCTTGTCGAAGGCGGAGTTGACCCTTGACGGCGGTCTTGCTGCGTCCAAGTATCTGAGTATCCTTCAATCCAACCATGTGTAAATCATTCTATGCCCAAGAATACTCTGTAAAATATATCATAATTAATTCACAATATATATATATAGAAATATTATATATATACTACTATATATATAAGAATTATATATGTAATTGTTCTATTATAAAATTGTGTCTTAACCGATGAAAACCACACAAAACTACGCAAGTATTTAGGCATCCTTAATTCCAATCGTTTACCAAAGCTGTTTTATTAATAGTCTTAATTTGTGTTTCAACAAAATAATCTCAATTTTGAATCTCTATACAGTTTTATATTTATTTCATATTTTATTCTGATTGTATTCAGGGCAGAGAAAAGAAGAAATTATTATATATATATTATTATTATTATTAAGTAAATACGATTTTAAAATTTCTTTTTTTTTTTCATGAAATGACATTTAATTTTTTGAAGTAAAAAATATTTGAAATTTTTTATTAGTATACGAAGTGTCGAATTGTTTAAATCTAACCGAACGTATAAATATATCTCCCCGCGTTTTCTTTTAGGCTTGCAATAAAATGTTTTGAAGGGAATGAGCACTCTTCTCTTGTCGTTCACCTGTTGCTTTCTAGTTATCGTGTCGTCAAGTCAGCTATATGCGACAAGATTTTGTAAGCGTATGGCGTATGTTCCAATGGCCGATACAATTGTGTCTTCAATTTCGCATGCGCTGCTGTTGCTCTGTAGTCCGATTTTCCATTTATAAGATTTGATAAATCGATATAACGTCCGATTGAATCTTGATCTTTTAAAAAAGATGCTTCATAGATGGATGCGTCATATAAAAATGAGATAAGTACAATCGAAAAGAATTTTAAAATTAAATAATTTTTATCTTTGGAAAAAAGAGTTTAAGAAACTATTGGATTTACGTTTTTTATTTTTAACTAATCTTTGCCGTCTCACGTACACACATATTTCATAATTACAGAATATAAACTTTTATTAATTTTTTTTCATAATAGAACAAGTCTTAAATATGAAGGTAAAAATAAAAAAGCCGTATTGCAAAGTAAAATTGATTATAACTCTATCTATTAATGCGAAGGAATCAATTTAATAATTCTAATAATATCGATTCGAGAGATGGAATTAGCACGGCTAAATGTTTATCATTAATACAGGAAATATGGATATAAATAACTCGTTGGCTGCAGAAATATAGAATACGCGAAATACCGTTATACGTATGCATGTTAAAATATTGAAATTATACTTACGGGAGACAAGACATTACTATATCAATGACCGACATTGCAAACCTGTCGGTGTGACTTTAGCATCTAACATCTCATTACACGACTATGAAAATCTTTTGCCTTACATTTCTAGATACATATATCCCCGATCAACAAATTTACGTTTAAAATACTTTGATGTATATCGGGCTTATAATTATAGTCTTTATGTCGATAGCATTTAGAAAGTTCATCTTGCAGGAAAATGGAGACGCGTGGGATCATATGATAGACTCCAAAATGAAAGACAATGAAGTGAAAGACTCTCTCTCTCTCCGAAGACAATGTCATCATTTCACGATATACAATCAGTTTTCATATCTCATTTCAGAGTCGGGCCCGGTTTTCCAGATTCCGTTCGCACGTGCTTGCTGCATCAAAAATTACAGGTGATGCGAATTGCCAAATATTTTATGTAATACTTATATAATTTTTACGTACTTTCCTTAGGTAAGAATTTCATTGGCTTTGTTCTTACGTTTTATGCACGCAGATGATGAACTGCTGTATAACGAGGAAAAAAACGAGGGAGGAGAATGCGCATAGGTCTCAGAGCATAGAAATCGACGATGTGGACGAGACAGGTAATATTCGCGAATTAATTACGCTTTATACGCGAATGACAGCGAAGAAATTTGAAAATTGTTGATCTGGAACTTAACAATTCTGCTGTTGCAGAATCTGAAGATGACGAATTTTTCGAATGCACGAGCGAGGAGCTGACGAGCGAGGAGTTGACATCAACGAAGCCACAATTGAAGGCGAAGCACTTGCTGTGGAACAAACCCGCGGGAAGATTGGCCAAACATCCTTCGCTCAGGTTAATTTTTCTTTACGGATAACGACCGCAAATTGGTTGAGATTTGCTTAAAACCTAGAATTACAGCTTACAATATTATAAAAAAATCTTTTCTTGATGTGTAAAATTGGAATTATTTTAAAATCAAAGACTACGAGTCACAACAAGATGGTAAGTGTTGGAAATCAATCTAATATTTAATAAGTTATATTAAATTAAGTTATATTGAGTTATATAAATATTAAGTTGATTTCTAACACTTATCATCTTGTTGTGACTCGTAGCTCTTAATTTTAAAATAATTTTTATCAGTTGAGTCTATATACATATGTACATACATTGATTATATTAAAATTGGAATATTTTAACTTTACCAGCTAAAGATAGGAAAAGAAATAAAATAGCGTTATAGTATTTTAAAGTATATTATATTAATAAATGAAATTTATATTATAATATAAATTACAATATTTTAACATACACGAGATTTTTCTACTGGCTAATATATTAGCTCCTAATACAAAGAATATCGCATAAACTACATTCAATAATCATCAGCATCTCCAGGTATATCAAATATTTCTATTGACGAAGTAAAGTTGAAAAGTGTATAATTGTGACTTAACGGGAATTGATAATGTGTAGGTTGATCCAAACTGGAGACCTTCTTTATCTACCAGTCACGCAGGATCCCGTACCGAAGACGGAGGACCAACTGGAGGAGGATGCGCAGGTAATGATGCAGCTTGGTACCGACAAATACGCTTCCGAAATGCGAGCTCGAATGATGAGCGCGTCCCTATTATCAGACATGGAATCCTTCAAGGTACGCATTATGCATTGATCCTTGATATATTTTACAAGATACATCCATTTTCATTACGATGATAAAACGCAGGCGGCAAATCCTGGCGCAGTCCTGGAGGACTTTATTCGATGGTATTCCCCGAGAGATTGGATTGATGATGAAGGTGTTGACGAATGGGGGCAAGGAAAAGGCTAGTATTTTTTTAAATATAAAATACATATAAAATTCTGAGGAATATTCCAAATTCGAAATTTTGATATTACCGCTAAATAATTTTTATTTTAATTAAGTCAAAGACTTAAGAAATATTGTAAGTTAATCTCTCTGATAATGGCTACGTTTACACCGTGCGCTTATTCCGCGACCTATACGATAGATGTCTTTGTTTAACCTACAGGATAAACAAGGACATCTATTATATAGGCCGCGACCTAAATGCCGTAATGTAAACGTAGCCATTATCTTAGAAAATTATTTCTATTGAGCTGAAAGATAGACTGACAAATTAAGTGCTTTTTTAATGACAGATTCTTTTGTTTAATATAGAGTCGATTTTTCCATAACAAAAATATCTCGTCAGTTTTCAATTGAAATGGGAATATAATTTTATATTTTCAACGCTTATTACGTTTTTTATATCAAGTGTTGAAATGCAGGTCATTTATCACCACGGATGATGATCACTGATAACCCGTGGTCAACGACATGGACATCGGCGCAGCCAGTTCCCGCACATCGGCAGAAACGATTGTTCGACGACACGCGAGAAGCGGAAAAGGCTCTGCATTATCTGTGCTCGAAGCGAATAGGCCAGGTCGCGAAACTCCTGTTGCCGACTCTGACGCATGCCGCGCTCTATACCTTAAGCTTACAGAAACAAGAAGCTCTGCCAAGCCTACCTGATGTAGCACAGAGCATACTCAATAAATTACAATACGCAACGAAACCAATTCATCAAAAGCTGCAATTATATGAGGTACACTGCTGTTTATTAATTCGTTCATTAATTCGCCCTGCTACTCTAGCAATAGCTCTAACTTATCAGCCTGATTTACTCAGGCAGGACCGATAAGTCAATAATGTTGAACGCGCACACATTTCGGAAAGGTACACAATAAAACTAGTTCACTATTGTGTAAGATTAAACTTTGCATACTGACTACCACGCTGACTCTCATTCGCCCTGGGTTTTTTAATTCTTTTTTGGTTTTTTTAAATTCATAACGTATTGTATTTTGAATTATGAATTTATCCGGATAAGTATAAGCGATAATAGAAAAGAAATAGTTAAATAATGTATAAAGCGACGGGAAAAATTAAATAATTAGGTCACTTGTTAAAATTAATAACAAGTTTTTCAAAGTTATTAATTTTAATAAGTGACCTGATACAGTATTTATCTTTTCCCATAAGCGTAAGCGAAATTTCTAGAAGTTTCGTTTCACGATCACATTATGTTAAATTAGCACTCGGATATGTTAAAAATTCAACATAAAAATTTTAACACGTATTCGTTTTAATATAATTACAAAATATTTTTTACCGTTTTTATCATTAATGTCTGTATCTACCAATATAATTTAATTTTAATCTTGGTTCAATCAACTCTTCATCTTTTTCTAATTTTTAGAACTATAAAAAGATGAAGAGTAAGTTGAACCGAGATTAAAGTTAATTTACATTGGTGGAAATGAGTATTAACGTATGAATAGCATCATACATTTAACATAGCATCTTCAATCATAAACAGCCATTAGACCATTTCAGATTATGATTAATCAATATTTGTCATAAATATTTATATTAATGTGCGCTGATAAATATACTTCAAATAAAATATACATGTATAGCTTATGTATAAGCAGGAATTTGTACAGATGAACACTTTATATAACTTTCTCTTTGAATTTCAATTTCTTCAGGAAATCACGCGTGACATCGAAAGCGTGGAAGCGTTGGTTGCTCAAGTAAACTCGTTACAGCACAAGTTAGGCGGTAATAATGACTCTAAAGAATTCACATCCTTTTTGATTCAATTGATGCGGGGAAAGGAAGTGAGCGTGCCTGGCGGCTCCAGAGGAGACATTGGAACTCGAATAACGACGATGTTTCGCGATGCTCAAAAGGTATAGGAGAGAAGGAAAGAAAAAGGAAGCGAAAGAGAGAAAAAATTTACAATTTCAACATAAAATATTTCGATTTTGTTTCAGGCTGCTCATATGATGACGTCCGTCAGTAATACCAATAAGGATACTATAAATGCGGCAGATAGTCGATACAAAAATTTCCCCGAACCATCGTGCAAGGAATTCATTTTGCGAGCCATAATACCGCGACCTTCGCCATCCTCCACGCCGCAGCCACAACGGCTGTATGTCTGTCTTAAACGAGATCACATTCGTTTAGCCGGATTCTTTTCCGAAGATACGACGTTTTTATAATATCATTCAAACATCATCGTCGAATTTAAGTAATTTTTATTTAAAAAATTGGTGGATTTGTTGCAATAATGATTGTAGATCATATATCGATTTCGTTGAATGATCATATCCATAGTTTATTTTCCCGACATATCACGTACCTTTCGATTTCGCATTCGTTCAAAGGACTGAAAGAAGGCAAGAAGTAATATATGATGCAATGCGTGCTATTTTTCAATGCATTTATTCGTCTTACTACATGTATTTTGGATATTTTAAAAATATTTTTTCAAGATATCCTCTTTCTGGATGTGGGTAATTCCGTGAATAGATTTCGCATGATGCGATCAATCTCCTCGAAGGCTAATTGAACATGAAGCTGTAGCACGGGATCTTTGTCATCGCGCAAACTGCGCAATTCGCGATACAGGTCGATCATGTCACTGGTACAGCTACTCAATAAATTTCGGTCAAGACCGCGAAACAGAAGCGTTGCGACCAGCACGGCAGCACGCCGACATTCAGGTACTTTGTCCGATTTTAATATACATGTGATGCAGTAGAGAATCTGTGTGGAAGCGTTAAGATCAAGTTTAAAAAAAATTTTCTTTGATATTTGTTCTCTACGAATCTCTTATATACGTACTTCAGTGAGAACGTTTCCCAGACGATAGTTCAATACTTTGCAGAGCTCCCCTAAGCAAGAGAGACCAGAGGCTCGTACCAAAGGATCCGCATCACGAATTGCGCACAAAAAACCATTAAGCAGAATATTTTTTTGAACCACGCTCATTTCACCTGCGAAATTTCACATTTTGATTACTGAATTATCAAAATTTGCATCAAGTTTCATTAACCGCTAGTCGCATTTCGATGTATCCTATTTTATAATTTCCTGGACGTATTTTATGTTTTCTGTCCAGCATTTTAACGATAATTTATTAACGATTTATTTATTACTTTATGAATTTTAATAATGTTTCGTATAAAATATAACTAATAAAGATAAAAAGAGGATTTATGGAATATTTTTGTTGTATATATGCGCATAATAAAGAAAAAATTTCTGTGTACCCAAGGCTTTCGTTGTTTTAACCAATATTTCTCCGAGTTTTATCCTAGTTTCGATAGTTATTTCCGATATTGCAGCACGTTTGGGCATATCAATATATTCAAGCATTAGTGTTTCTATAACTTTTTCTGGAAATGCAGTTGCCATTGCGCACAGCCCATTGATAGATGCTAGATATATGAATGAGTCTTCATGCTTTAAATTCTCCTGTAATCAAATACATAAGTAAAATAAACTTGTAGAAAGCAACAGCAAGCGAGCAATTGAAATATCATCAACCTCAAACAAACGCAAGATGATCGCATTGCGCGCAACAGCGTAAGAATCTTTAGTCTCAATCAGTTTCGTGAGTACCACAAGACCATGCGCCCGAACAGGAAGTAATGGATCCGCGAGATCCCTTAAGGCTTGGTCAAATTTATCCGACGAACTGGACAAATCTTGATAATATCTCCTCTCCGTTCTAATTCGAGAATCATGTGTCGTGATACAAGTCACCACTTCGCTGATCAATGCTTTAAGTTGTGCTGACACATTCGAGTTCTTCAAATGGTCTTCTAAAAACGTTTTAAAATCTTTGAAGAGAACGATTTCGATTGATGCATTTTTCTCGAGCAAAATCATTTTTATCAACATTAAACTAATGTACAACATCTCGCATTCGTTCTCTTCAGTTTTCTTCTGAAGGTTTTTGATATATTCATTAAATAACGATTTTATAAACGACAGTAACGGTTCAGGATTTTTTACTTGTGCGTCTTGAACGATACTTGTGCTGGCTAATTGCGATAGAAGTTTATGAGCTGCTAATTGCATCGTGATGCGTTCTATTTTATCGTCTTCTGTCTCCAACATTTTCGATTGTTCAATTTCATAGTTCGATTTATTTATATTTGACAGGAACTTCAACATGTAACAGAATAAACTGGGAGACAAATCCTTAGCGATGGATACTAAGTCGAAAATAGTATCAGCTAATTTTTCATAGTCCAAATTTTTATTCAAGCCAGTAATTTCGATACCGCCAGTCGGCCCAAATTCTGATGTTATAGCATTTCCAAATTCTGCTGATGTATCATGTCCTAGAAAAGCTGAATATAACTTTTCCCGCATTGTCTCTTCTTCGAAAATTTTTAATAAAAGTCGTCGTAAATCTGTTTTTAACGTACAAGCACTTTCGCAGATTTTATCGTATAAGCAAAATAGAGGCATAGCAACATACAAAATAACTTTACAAGGTACATGTTTGAATTTGGAATCTTCCGTTAGAAAACATTTCGCTAGTATGTTTATACACCATTCTATCTTCTTTTCAGAAAAAACATGTGATTCTTTCATTGTTAAAGGTTCACAAATGACTTCTATAATATATTTCTGACAAATATGTGGATTATAATCATACAAAGATTTAATACAGCAGTTTGCTATTATTGAGCCATGCTTGAACTTATCTGAGGAAAACATATCTAAAATCTAAAAAAAATTATAATATTAATTTATTTTTATATTTCTTTATAAAATATACTTTATATTATTTCTTTAAATAGTCCCTGATTTACCTGTGGACATACAGCTTTGTAATATTCATCGATATTCTTTCCATGCGTTGCTGCTATCAGTCGGGAAAACGTATCTAATTTTCTCCAATCCACACCCAAGTCTAAATTGTTCTTATAAATTGTAGCAATCAAAGATGATACCCCATTGGGTTGCATAAGCATCTTAATTAGATAGTTTTGAGTTTCTTTACGTAGCCACTTTGGTGCATTTTGCACTCCAAGAATTGCCATTAATTCCCGAAAACATATATCATGTGGGCAATTACTTAATAGCAAAATTAATTTAGTGTGAAATATTTTTTGACGATTCTGCAACTTTTGATATTCTTCCGTTGTCATTCGAAATTCCTGATTATTTAAATTCATAGGTTGAACTTTGTCCACTGGTTTAGCTAGTGGAGCATGAGACAATTGTAACAGAGCGGCCATTAAAAAGCCAATTCGTAAAAGTACAACTGGTCGCAAATTAAGATCATCGTAAAGTTCTAAGAGTAAGTGTGTTGAGAAACACAATCGTTCATATTTCTGAAACATGAAGTCTGTATATAATACAGTATATAATCGATAAATAATTGTAGATAGTATTAATAATACTTAAATTATATAATACTTTACCTCTAAGCAACTCAAATTCTTTTCTTCGGTAATTGTTGAAGCTATGGGGCATAATTTATGTACATCTATACCTACACCAGGTAGTAGAAAAGGTTTGATTCCAATTAATATTATAAATTCCACAGCTATTTTCACAGAGTGATATTGATTCACATTAAAAGGTGCATCAGTATCTACATTTATATTTTCTTGCTTAATACCACGCAATATATAAGTTAATATATTTAGATATTGTTGTCTGTAAATAAAACAAATATATATTATTTAAATATTTCTAGTCTATATAAAATTTATATAGTACTTCAACAATACCAAATTATACCTCATAGACAAATTTTCGATACATTGCATATCTTTTGGCAAAAGTGGCTTTACCTTCTGAATCATTTGTACCATCTTATCATCAAAATTTGTAACCTGATCTATAAATATAGATTTAGTTAAAAAATACGCTACATATTGCTATGTATTAGCTGTGTACGGTTTAGATGTTTGCATGCTGTAAGCTGTAAACTTTATTCTATCTTCCTTCCACAAGTAACGTGTGATAAAAACTGAATAAAGCTCACAGCATGTGAGCACCCAAATCGAAACTAAAGTCTTAATTATTACTATAATATTACCTTAATATTGTAAAAATAATTGGATCTATTAATAAAATATGTACAATCTTACCATCAGCATTGTATATCAACTCGGATAATATTTCATTGTAATCCATTTTCCTTTACACTTTTATTCAAAAAAATCCTGTGAATTTTGTACATGCACATTTGATGTTCTGTTTTTAACGTAATGACAACACCAGCTCATATCAGCTGATCGCCTTTAAAGCTGATTCTACATTAAGCTAGTTCTATAAGGCATCTTTACATGGAGCGTCAAGCGTCGAGTGTCAGAGCATGCGCAGTGACAGTTAAATAATTTTACTAAAATGCATTAGAATCTAATGATTAGATCCAATGTAAATACATACATACATACATACTACTGCATTCTGAATCCCATCGAAAAAAGTGTTGCAACCTTTTTGGTCTTGACCTACATACGGCGTCATTAATGCCTAGGCATCTGAATTTGCAGGAATATCGAGTAGAGTCCTACATATAGGACTCTAGTATCGAGGCATGTTCAAGACGCGCATTCCTTTTTAAATATTCATACATAAAGGCTGCGATCCACTTGACGCTACAAACGCTTCGAAGCATTCTTTGATTAATCAATTCGTAAAATTCTTTGTTCTGATTGGTCGCTCAAACACTTCAAAGCGTTTGTAGCGTCAAGTGGACCGCAGCCTATGACTAATGGTTATTCGAAAAATGTAACATAAACTTAAAATTGAATTAAACTGAATTAAACTAACCCTGGCGGTTTTACGAAAGGAGTATACAAAATACTTTGTTCCTGCGGGCAAGTATACATTGGAGAAACCGGGAGAATGGTCAACCTACGGATAAAAGAACACCAACGTGATGTCAGGCTAAAACACGCTACGCAGTCGGTATTATCAGAACAAGACATTATCGAAACAGAACATCAAATACAGTTTGATAAAACGACCACAATAGTCAACATTACATCATACTTTCCAAAAAAATATAGGAAAGCCATAGAGATACAAAAACACCCTAACAATCTAAATAGAGATAATGGCTATAATATAAATAAAATATGGAAGACCATTCTTCCGGTTACTGAAGACCGACCGACTTCTTCTCCTCTCCTCCGCCTACAATTTTCGTCTTCTCCCCTTCCCTCCTCCACCACTCCAACAAGCAGCATAATATAAAGGGAACGGCCCAGAGGGGCAGCTTAGTATCAGGCTGCTCCTCGCTCTGATAAAGTGGATTGTAAGGTTTACGAATGCTATTGTGCATGAAATGTTGAATGCAATATTGAAACATCAAAATGTAAAAGAAGCGTAAATGCTAGAATTTCTGCAGAATTTCTATGTCGCGACACTAATTTATGATGCTCGTAGTCTCGATACCTATCGTTTTTCATCAGAGAAAAGTTTCGCAATTCGTAATTCGTTTCATTAACTCAAAGAAAAATTGAGCCTATAATCGCTTAATTTTGCCGATTTCGTCCGTTGTACATCTTGCGTGTTGGCGTCAAAATTTATTTTTATAGGGCCACACGGGAACCCGCGGCGTGGATTAGAAAGGGGAGAAATACACGCCGCAGCGGCGGAAGCTTGTCACACAGTGACTCTCAAATGGTGGATTTCCTGAAGAGCAAAGCCGTGTTTCGTATACGCCGTTGAATATTGAAAACCTATATAGTTCATGTTACGTTATATAGCACACAGCACCTACAAGGTATTAAAAAAGCGCTAAAAAATGTATATAAGCGCTTTTTTAGCGCTTTGCAGCACTGCCATGCTGCTTGGATAGATACTAATTAGGTTTACAATATTCATAGTGAATATCGGGAACACCAGCATAATCGGCGCTAATGTCTGGTTTTCCTAAAAATAAAGAGAAGGAAGACTTCGCTCTTATCGAGCGTTCCCCCGACTGTAGAAATCTATTGCCTGTCTTTTTAGCTGAAGATATGAAAAAAGAATATTATAAAATTCACATGAAAACTGCGTATAAATGGACGAAAAATAAATATTATTTGCGAATAAATTGTATTTTATATAGTTGTGTGTGAAATTTTAGTTCAAATTGAAATTTGAAACAGCAACTTTTCAATCTTATTATTGTTAGCAATTTAGTTAATAAAGCCTAATAAATGAGAATAAATTAAAATGGATATTATGATCGAAATTTTAATTCATTTGAATCCATCCAAATACATACTTAAACATTCATGGTCTATTTTTCCTTTTTTTAAACTCAATTGGATGGAAAAACTTTTTTAGATTAAATTGAATTAAAAAATCACATTTTTTCTCTCTCTCTCTAAGAATTTTGAATTGAGAAATATTCACGAGGTACACGGAGAGAATTTTTTCTTAGAGTTCACCCTGAAAATATGATCGTCGTGGGACAACATTGTACTTCGAAGAATTTTAATGTAAATCTCTCTCATTCATTATTAAACTGCAATAAAATATAAAATAAGTTTGATTAATTTTACTGAAGAGCATAAAAATCTTTAAAATATTGTATTGTACCACAACTACCATATTTTTAGGATAAATTTTAAAAGAAAATTCTCTTCGTGTACAGAAAAAGGCTGATATTATTTTTAGATTGAAAGACATAGAAATGTGCTTCATGTAATTCCTAAACGAATAAAAACGCATTAGGATTGAAAAGGATTCGTTTGTTCGCAAATGAGTATCTACTTATAAAAATCTAAATCCATTTCAATCCATTCTCGATTATTGAAAGCTCAAAATATACCTATACAGCACAGAATTTGCAGCAATATCGCTGCAAAATCTCTGCAATATTGCTGCAACATGCAATATTGCAGCAATGTTGCTGTAACTTTTGTGCAATTTTGTGCTGTAGTGATAATAAGTAATTAGAGTCTTTTTTACATGTATGAGTAAATTTATGTTAAATAAAACAAATGTCTGTTCTTGTATTTGCATTTTATCGTTAAAGTATGTGCAAGACTTAAACAAATAGGAACAAAGAAATAAACATTTTGGAAATATGCAATGATTACTGATTTAACAAACAATAAAGTTATCAATCTTAAATATTGTCTATATATGTATATATAAAAAGAAAAGAAGAGATAAGATTTAATAATTTGTAAAGGTGCTATTTTATTTGTGCGTTTTTATCATATGACGAATATGTATAGAACAGACAACGCATCGAATGAAATAGCGACCTAAAAGTGTTTAACGCTATTTTATTTAAATTCAATTTGTCTTCCGAAATTTCACATTTTATAGATATATAGCGCAAAAAATAGATTTGATATTGATAGAAACACGATAAGAATAAGTTCTATTATTGGACTCAATGCGGTTTGTTCATATTTAAATAACACGCATACGCGATCACACATACGAATTGGCTACGCGTAAATGATAATGCGATGATAATAACGAGAAGGTTGCGCAGCACTGACAAAACGGACGTGCGACGTCATTGGCGTAGAACGCTATACACTATATTGCAGCTAGAAATAAATCAAATGCGTTCAGCAGAGAAAACTGATAAATGAACGCTCAGTGATTCTTAATTTGTTGTGATTGGTTCTTGGTTTTAATTCTTCGTTACATCTAAGTGTAGAAATATAAATATTAAAAAATCACTGAGCATTTATACTTGTCAGCTTTCTCCGCTGAATACAGCCATTATCACAAATCGCACATTGATTATAACAATAGGTTTGTTCGCGTTGTTTAAAATCTAAAAAATTTTTGCACTTAAAATGAGATAAATTTATATTTGGGTGTTGAAGAGAAAGAAAGCAAAAATGCTAAGTGCAAAAAGTACAAGCAATGCGAACAAACCTAATAATACAACTCAAAATATAAAATACTCCAAACAAATAAGTTTGAATATTTTGAACCATTAAAACGACGTAACATTAATTTTAAAATACAATTTTGGTGTAATAACTGATTATACGATATTATATGTATAGGAATAAAAGTATGTTTTTTAAAAATGTCTTTTACATTTTTTCTTTCTTTATGTTTCCGTTTCTTTTGTAAGCAACTAAATGATAACTTTATAGTTATATGTAGTTATTGCAGTAAATGAATCTTTAAAAAAAAAGAAAAGCAATGATAATATTGCATTGATCTTTTAATTGATCATTTAATTGTTGTGAATGTCTCTCGTATACACTTTTGAATTGATCAATTCTTTTTCTGTTCTTTTGATACGCGTCTTTTAGTAGGAATGACAACATAAGAGGGAACCTTTCTCAAGCAAAAAGAATTTCCCAGAAATGTGCCGCGCATGCAGTATCTTCCGCATGGAGTCTTCAATGCTTGCTGCAGCATTTGCGAGTTTTGACTCGCGTCACGCCAATGCCGAGGATAATGCGTGGTTCTCGACGAGAAGACTCGCTCGAACACGGGAGACGCTTTAGTACTCCGCCAACCTCCCAGTACTGCACGCGGGCGTATCCTGATCGTGCTTTCTCACGGGGAAATATGATCCTTCGTACGCGGCGGCACGCGCCGCGTCTTACGAATGGAGTGAAGATCGCTGCGAGACGCTGCGCGTCGAGAGTATCGAAACGCGCCGCACTTCATGTGACTCGCGCCCGCGTGATCGCCGCGCGAACGGTCCTTGCGACCGACCGGACCGATGAATCGGCACATTGATTAAATGCGTTCGATCAACGCGGAATTACAAGGGCGCAAAGAACACTCGTGGGTGAATGTTCACGACGAAGTGAAACATCGTTGCACTATTTGCAGTGTAATATTGCAAAATACAGAAATACGAAACGAGTCTTAGCGACGGAAATCTAACTATCGCAATAATTAATTGTTTTCTGCAAACATACAGTAATGTAATATCGACAGTTTAATCCTAAATAGCACATCTATATAATGTCTAAAATCGGGATAAACGACATTTTTAAGACTAATATATACATTAATCCATTTTTGTCATATGACAAATTTTCCAAATCTATTGATTTGGCTATAGGATAGAAAAATCCGAAAAAAAAACTTATCTGTACTGCAATCAATTAATAAGCTTAAAAAATTTATCGTACGACAAAAAAAGGACAAATGTACAATACTTGCTATCTGGATTATGTATTATCTACATACTTATAGTCTATAGTATTATCTTATAATGTATGAGATAAGCTTATCGGTATTAACATTATGAGTGTATTTTTCTGACTTTTTAACGTCT